ATCGTTGGATCGAAATGAAATTTTAGTATGTTATTCTAGAAACATAATGTGTATCTTTAGAAATTGCGGATTGGAAATTTGATATGTGGATCTTCCGGATCGAGTTATACAGTGTTGTGGACCCTATCATCGATTGACTTGTGGTCAATGAGTCTCAAACTATTTTAGAATATCTTTAAGGGCGTGCCTTATGAAAATTATGTATTCCATTGATAAGAGTTCTGAGATGTGATTCGATAATTGTTATAGGCGCCAATCGTTTGGAACGCTTCGATGTGCGTGCTAGTGAATCATAGCGTGGACTCCAGGTGGGTGGGTCATTTCCTTTTTATCATATGTATATAATAGAGAGTTCCACAAACGCTTCTAAATTGGTTTATGCATGTATGTATAAATAATTAATGTGAACTACGAATGACTTGATCCCTGTTTAGCGTACGTAGGTAGTCTAACGAGATGTTGGATGCAGCCATATAATAATTGAGACTAAATAATTGGGACAATAGCCTTGTTGGGGATTTGAGCAATGTGAGGGAGATTGGTGAAAAATGTGAGAATTGGGACAATAGCCTTGTTGTGTGAAATGTTGGTTATAAATCAATGTGTGAAGAATCGTAACATTGAAGTGAAAAATAGTTAGTAATGATAGTTAATTAAACTAGTGTTTAGTTGGGCTTATCACCAATAATTATTTCTGAAGGTAAATAGGTCAGGAGTGGGGCGTTACAGCTTATGCATTTTATTCCATTTGTATATATGTTTATATATTTGGAAATATTATGACATGGTTGAATTTCAGATTTACATCTTAGTATATCCATATGTATATTACTTGCACTTAATTATTGTGAACACTCTGAAGTGCAAAGGTGAACGCAGGACACACAGGTAAGTTCAGGTGAGTATATAGTATTAGTTGAAATGATGGGGTTATGGCATGACTACATTTATGTAATAGGCAACTCCGACATTGTCGTACTGGTTGCCTATGAGTCGTACATGCAGTATTAGATGCATTTAGAGCTCATAAACCTGCACTCCGATGTTAGTGCTCCCGCCTGTGGCCAGGGCATAGTCCTTCACGTGATGTTCACCTTCCGCACCTTACGCTCACCTTGGATCCAAGGTAGGTGCATAGGCCTATCGTACAGACCACTATAGATGGTTCTGACTCGTGTGCAGGGATATTTGATAAGCTATGGATAAGTCGTACATGTCACTATAGGTGACTCCGACTTATATATGCTAGCAATGATTGATGAGATATGAATAAGTCGTACATGTCACTATAGGTGACGCCGACTTATATGTGCTAGCAATGATTGATGAGATATTTGATGAGTTATGAATAAGTTGTACATGTCACTATAGGTGACTCCGACTTATATATGCTAGCAATAATTGATGAGATATGAATAAGTCTTACAGGTCACTATAGGTGATTCTGACTTATATGCTAGCATTGATTGATGAGATATTGATTTAGCCGTACAGGTCACGTGAGGTGGCTCTGGCTAACATGTCAATGAGATATATATGTTTATTGAGATCTATGGCATGATATTCATGTGGACTTTGTTATGCCATGTATGGGATTGAAATAGATATGTATTCTATTTTCTGGGAAATTTTATAGGTGTTACGGCGAGGGGCTATTGCCTTTGGTAATTGAAATTGGTTTGAAAAGTTTTGTTTCACTCACTCACATTTTCTACTTTTGTACCCCTCTAGGTTCTAACAGTAGAGTTCTGTATCGACGAGGATTCGTGGCACTTTTCAGTACAGATGTCTTCTTATGATGGTATAATAATTATCTTACCTTACTGTATTATACTTATGCTCTGTATCACGCGTGAAATGGGTCCAGACCCGCTCACCGTGCACTCGTGTACTTAACCACTTTTAGATTTTAATTTATTCACATTTATTACATTATCACACTCATGGCTTCATCACCTTCCAGGTGTCGGCCAGTAAGGCTTGATTTGGGTTCCTAGCGAACATTCTGAGTCGGAGTGTGTCACCTCACCCTATACTCGACCCCAAACCCCGCACCAAACTCAAAATTAACTCCAAAAACACATATTAATGAAAAAAAAAATTAGAATTTGGGGAGAATGTACATTTTGGCAAGATTGAGAGTAAGTGAGAATGAGAGGGAGGAGTAAGTGTGAGAGAATTAGAGGAGATAGTGAGAGAGAGATGAGAGAGTGAGTGAGAGTGAGAGATAGTGAAGAGAGAGAAGAGAGAGATTAAGTAAGAGGAGTGAGTGTGAGGGAAAGGGTTGGATTTGGGGAGAGGGAAAGAAAGAGGAGAGGTAAGAGAATAGAGAAAGACATTGAGAAAATTGTGGATGAGTTATTATGGTTTTAAAAACCATATCACTTTGTGCAACAAACTATTGGTCACACAAAGTCTTTAAAAAATTTTAAAAAAACAAAAATTTTCCGCATCCGATTTTTGGTGCCCATCCGAATTTTTTAGAGTTTGGCACAACAAAGTGTTGGTCGCGCAAAGTTTTGCACGACGAAGGATTGATAGTGCAAAGTCTTAAAAAAACAAATCCCATGTACCATTTTTGGCTCCTTCCCAAATTTAAGGATTTTGCGAGACGAAATATTGGTTCGTCGCACAAAATTTATAAAAATAATTTTTATCAATAATAAAAAAGAAAATAATTTTATTTTACAATTTAAAGATAAATAAATTAAAATAAATAAAGTTTAGGCGACCAAATGTGTATTCATCGAGCCAAAAAAAAAGAAGAAATAATATAGTTTAACAATATAAAATATAAAAATTAAGTAAATAAGGTTTAGTCGATGAAATATTGATATTTGTCACGTAAAGGTTTTAAAAAAATAATAAAAACTTATGAAAATAACTATATTTTAAAATTTCTAATATAATATTAAATAAAAAACAAACATAAATTGGTTTAAGCAACAAAATATTTGGATTACGTCGTGCAAAGATTTAAAAAAAATAATTTTTTTTATTTTTGTAAAGACTTTGCGTGACGAAGTTTAAAGTTTTGTCGTGCAAAGTGACTTTGCACAACGATGTGTGTTTCGTTGTGCAAAATTTCGTCACGCAAGGGTTTTTTTTTTTTTTATTTTTTTTTATTTTTTTTTTTTTATTAACTTGTGAATTAGTACACAGTTGCTATTAAAACACATGTTGGTATATATATGAGTATATGTGTTTTTGTTGTTGTTATTTAAAGCAACAAAAACAGGTACTTTGATACATTTATACGATCATGCATGCTATTGTCAATGATCAAGTGAAGAGATATAATTCATGCTATTGTCAATGATCAAGGAGAGAGATATAATTAGTGATCACAACAATGATATAATTCGTGCTATTGTCAATGATCAAGGGGAGAGATATAATTAGTGATCACAACAATGACATGGTTAGTAATGTGCTACTAGGTTCTAATAGAAATGATTAGAACTAGGAGAGTGAGAAGAAATTGATCATCTTAAAGATTAAAAGCTAATTAAAATTTTCATCTTGAAAAGATTGATCAATTGAGTGCGAGAAATGAAACCTTGTTTTGAATTTTAGTGGGAGACTCAAGGAATTAAACTTTGTTTCGGTTTATGTTTTTCATCAAAGAAGAGGATTATGTTTTTAATCAAACACATTGGCAAGGAGTCAAGAGAATTAATTAGAAGACACTCAAATTATGAAATTTATTGAATTAAGTATTAGTTATGTAATTTTCTATTGTGATGCATTTTTGCATGAAATTTTGATAAAAACATAATGGTCGCCTCTTGATTGATTAAGAAACATAGTTGAGTTACAGTACGGGCAGGTAAATACTGCAGTATAGCCTAAAAGTTTATTGATACATCTAGACGTTGTATCCCAAGGAAGTATGTCAATGCATTTTATGTTAATAAGTACACCATTTTTAAGGAATGGATCAAAAGCTCCTATTAAAAAAAACACATTGAAGTAAAGTATCATTATATGGACTTTATAGTGATGAGGGATGAAGTGAAAGTCGACCATATACCCTCTGATGAGATGGTGGCTGATCCTATGCCCACTAGATTGCTTTGAAGGGAAATCTAGAGGACCATGTGGTACAGGTTGGAATTATCTAGATGTTGTAGTTGGGGCATGCGGTATGGGAATCACTGGATGGATTTTGAGGATTTCTGAAATGAACAATGTGAAGCGACTTTATTTGATTAATAGTCGGATAAAAGATTGAGGAAACTAGCAAAGTAACAAAGTTATAACATATTTTCTTGTATGTAAAATTCGTTTATAGGCATGCATCATGTTTTAATATGTATAACATCTTGGCGCATAATGTGTAAAGTCGTTGATAAGGTGTATTGAGGAAGGCCTTTGGATTGACTTAGGAGGAAGTACTTGATCGAAATTTCAACACAGTTAAAGAGTCATAGTGCCACTTTACTAATGTTTAGTACTAGTTGTCAAAGCGTGCGCACCATAAGCCGAATAACGGACTGACGAGAGTTTACAAATGTTTGTAAACTAAAGTTGGAAAGTCAAGAGTATTCAAGATTTGATACTCGGTAATGATATTCTATATGTGTAGCCAACTAGATCTTACATCATCATCAAGATTAAGTGGTAGATATTGGAATATGATCATGATGATATTGGCTTTACTATATGTATTTGTATTTGATGTGTGGAGGTAAATAGATTGGTAAACTAATATACACATAACCAAAGAGTATTATAAAAGCGTGTAAAAAAAAAAGGGTATGATATGATGTGTGACTTATCATAAGAGTTATAACCAATTTGTAAATGATGTTAATTTCTTATCATAAGATCATCTAGAAAAGTCTCACAACTTTCTGAAAGAAGGGTGATAATTGTCTTTAAAATGAGGATTTATTCCTTCAGACAAATCATTCAACTGTGGAAGCAAATTATCTTCTTCCCTTTGCAGTTATTATATTTATATATATATATATATATATATATATATATATAAATATTCAAAACTGTATATGAAGCCCATGAAATTTATTTACAAACTAGACAAGCATGAATATATATGTAACCACAGATACCCCATTACCTATATATAACTGATACGTACATATATGAGACCTATAACTTAGCAACTATTTCTAATGCAAAGCTACGCGATCCTACTATAAGTATATGAACCCTACATGCATACGTGCAACGCCATGAATTACCAATATTACAAGCCAAACAAAGACAAAAATACGCGCACTAGAAATTAACCCCATCCTCATGAGTACTAAGGCTCATGATTCATGAACATACGCCGTTTTCTTAATTGTTTTCAACATTTTTACCCTTCACCGAGTGAAGTAAGTACGGGGAGAGAAGAGGCGACGAGGTGAGAACATCCCCATATACCTCGGTGAAGCAAGGCCGTCAATTGATGACCGGTACTCGGGCATGATGAACCTTTCTCTCTCCTCTCGCGGTCTGCTTCGGTTGGCCCCGTTGAACGTGCCATACTTCACCAATTTTCCCATCCAAGACTTCTTCTTGAGAGGAGTCTTGTGGCCGCCATTCATTTTCTCACTAAGGTACTCCTTCACTGAATGCAACCCTTGCTCGAACACCTCAGGAGGAGGAGAAACCATAGGGTTTCCTTCCACAATAAGCTTCTGAAGCTTCTTGAGGCATCCAATGGAGTCTGGTAGGGCTGTGATCTTGTTGTAGCTGACGTCCAATTCAACAAGAGAGATGAGGAGGCCAATGGAGTATGGTAGGATTTCGAGGTACTGGAAGTTTTGGCTCACATTGAGAACTTCTAGGTTGATAAGGTTCTCGAGATCTTCAGGAAGGGACCTGAGGCAGTTGAGACGAGCATCGAGTATACGCAGAGACGTAAGGTGGGTGAGGGAGCGTGGTAGAAAGATGAGCTTGTTGGAGTTCACTGATAGCTTCTTGAGGTTATTAAGTTCAAAACCAATGGTGTCTGGGAGGTGGCTCAGCTTGTTGAAGTTGGCATTCAGCTCTTCTATTGACCTGAGTAATTGTTAAACCACAACTAAGTCAATTTGCTTTAACAATAATCCACAATTTGATGCACATGTATAAACCACATCAAAATCCTACTATTGAACTGTGTTGTATAATCTCTCAAATGAAACCTTATCTATGTGAATTTGTCTCCCCCTATAAGAAAAATGGTTTATTTTTATTTGTTCATTTGTGAGACCACTAAATAGAAAATTTTCAATATATTCAGAACACAAATTAATACATTAAATGTCATATCATACATAATTTTCAATGTATTCAAAGAAATAAATGTCATAATAATCTCTCTACTTATATTATCATACATCATTTGCCGACATTCCGAGTGCACGCAAAAATGTCCTCATTAAGTGTTTAGACCATCTTGTATTCTTTAGTTTTACGATTGTACTCTTATATATAGGGTTCTACTTGTCTTTTTATTTTTTATTTTTGGTGAAAGGGTTCTACTTTTCTTTGCATGCGTGATACGTGTAACTGTTATTAGAATTTTCAATGTGATCATGAATTATACTTTTGACTTATTTGTTGCAAGTTCTCTACACCATTCCTTTGGTTCCTACGAGACCAAAAAAAAAAAAATAAAAAAAAAATAAAAAAAAAAAAAAATTCACCGCATCAAGACGTACTTCCAAAAATGTTTATAGTTTTAATGGGAAATAATCAAATTGTCGACTGCTCAGCTTAGGCGTACACTCAAGTACTAGAGATTTCTGTGTTGCGTCCCTTATACTCAACCGGAAGTGCTCCTTTAGGACAAGAAATATATATATACAACTACAATAAAACAACGTACGTCTAGTATTGGAAGAAAAAAAAAAATCAGAAAATTAACACGATGTTCTATGAATTAAATTAACTATGGTTTCTTTAATAATTACATTCAAGGTGAAATTAAGTTTTTATTCCTCTTTTTTCAACTGTATTGATTGAAACCTTATTCTTTTTTAATTTTTAATCAAGGTCATTGGTTTTAATAAACATCATTAATTATTTAAATAATAAAATATTTTACATATCAAGATAATTAAATTTTATTTATAAATTATTCATTTAGTGTTAGAAACGTTACATTTGATATATTTATATTTATGGCTAAATTTTGTATCATATATGTTTATTTTTATTTTGTACCCATTTTAATTTGCAACCCTTTTTATTAAATTGTGTCAATTTTCTATTCAGTTTTAGTTTGTACCCATATATTAATTTCTTTTTGTGTCCATATTTTTTTGACCTTTTATTTGTACCCATAATTTATTAATAATGTACCCATTTGTCTTTAAAAATGTACCACTTCGTTATATGTAAAATATGCCCTTTTTTTTTTTTTAAGTTCCATATCTTTTTTGTGTAAAATTTACCCATTGTTTTTTTATATGAAATGTACCCATTATATAAAATGTATCACCTTTATTTTGTATAAAATGTACCAATTTTTTGTATGTAAAATGTATCATATACAAATTACCAATTTTTCATATGTAAAATGTCATTAATACAAGTAATGACAAATCATGGGTTTTATTTAAGTATATATTTCTAAAAATATTTTCAACAAATTATAGATTTTATTTAAAATCTCATTAATATAAATAACTACAAATATCAAATTTTAATTTAAAAATTATAACAACTTACATAGAAATGCATTATTACATTAATTTCAGGGACTTTAATAAAAAATCGAAAATCAACAAAATTTCAATCAAAGAACGTTGATAAATAGGGACCGCATCCAAAATTATCCTACATTCAATATCAAATTTGATCATGATAAGGAATAGATATGTTAATTTTCTGGTTTACTTGTGAATTAATTTCATGACGCAATGGGGGTCCAATAATATATAAGAAAGGATGACATCAGAAGACGGTGAACACGTTGATATATATTAGGAGTACAATATATTACTTTAATGTTTAAAAAAGTTTGCATATGTATAATAAGAAATTTATTAATTACATCGCAGGTTTCAAAAATTTTAATCGGTCATGCATGTAAAAACAAACCGCGAGGTTAGCTAAAGATTCACTTTAAGATCGGTTGCATTGAAAGAAAAATGCATGTAAAAATTAATTTACTGGCCCTCTAGTCCTCCATATTTTGTTTAATTTCAAGTTACATGACTATTTTTTTCAATAACTTGCCATTTAAAATGGGAATTTTCACTGAACAAATGGAGAACACTTATCCTACAAACTAGTATATATAGTCATCCAGAATATTCCATTAAATTAAGGGAATTCTTTCAGGTACATTCCAAATTTTATTGTTTTTAATGATCCTAATTTTCAGAAAGTCACTAACAAATAAATAAAGCATAACGCTTGTGTTAACCCAAAAAGAAAAGGCATAACGCTTGTATATACATTTATATGAAGCATTCATTAATGAAATTGTTCTTAATTTAATTGGAAGGAGGAAGAGGAAGAGATGACAACGAACCTGCAATTTTCGATAGTGTTTGGTAGATATGAAATAAGGTTTCCGGAAACGTTGAGAACCTTAAGCTTGGACAAACAACCAATTGAGTTTGGAAGAGATTTCAGCTGATTTGAATGCACGTCCAACACTACCACGTTCAGTAATCTTGCTGTTAAGGATTCTGGTATGTTCTGCAAAATTTACACCAAGAGACAATATCAAAACAAATTTTTATATATAAAAAATTTGTATATAAAAATTCGTTCAAGAATCGAACTCTAAATAGAACCTCTCTCATATGAATCCCCAACGTGCAGATACACAAATTATTATTAACATTGTACCCTTTGTACTCTCAATGGACGACGTAAAGATCTCACAACTACCTATTGCGTGATCAAAATCATGAGATTTGATATATAGTTGTGAGATCAATTCTTTTTAAGGAATATTATACCCTTTAAGACGTGATGTACCGATACAGATTAATTACAAGGTAGATGATTGTGAGAATTGGACGTATAAATACAAGATTTTCTCCCTGATGGAGATGGAAGCATATCTACAATTCATCTAAAATACCTGAAGGTTGTTATTGGAAAGATCAAGCTTGCAATAGCCCCCAAATTAAGGGAAGGATTGGGAAGGGCATCAAGAGACATCGCACTCAAATCCACTATCTCAAGCCTCTCTTCATCTATCGATCTCTTCCTCTCATTAGCAGCTTTTTTCTTCGTGTCCATTCTCATTTGCTGCTGCTGCTGCTGCTGCTCGTACATCATCTTCACCAACCCGAGAAAGATTCTTCAATTCCTTCCCGAGAGAAAACAGAAAATCAAAGATAGAAATTTTCTAAAGTGAGGCGTTTGTGTTTGTGCTGTGTTAGTTACGTGCTTGTTTGGAAGGAAAGAAAATTGGGGATGAATATATTTCTAGAGAAAGAGGGACTATATAGAACGTACGGAAGGAAAGGGAGTGGGAGGGAGTAGGTGAAAGTACTAGCTGACACGTGTGTACGATGTTTGTCAGCAAGTACGGAATAAGATTATATTCGGATTCTTTTTATAAGAATCATAAAAATCAATTCATTTTATCTGTTCATCACTTATCTTGAAATTATTTTAAAATTTTTTATTTAAATACTGTTTAATATAATGAACAAATGAACTGATTTCTCGAATCTTCACAAATAGAATAAAAAAAAATCCTCATCCAGCAAGTACAAGGCCGTATGCTTACGGTGGGGATTGCGTGGCCATGTCTCCCACTTGGATCAAGTCAATCCTTACCTTCCGGCCGCCCGCCAATGTCACCCCCGTTGGCTTATTCTCATTATTCTTTTGTTTTCTAGGGTTGCATATTTTCATTATTTTTATTGCCTATTCTTATCACCTATTATTTCTTGGTGTTGGACCAAATCCAACTAGCTATTTTTATTTATATTTATTTTTTTATTTTTAATTTATTTTTTATGTTTTAGACTTTAATCACTACTAATATCTTATAGTTTAATAACTTTTAATTTATTCCTTCAAAAAATTGTCAAATAGGTAAGATGAGGGAGTTGTTATAAACATGTAATTGTTGCAGTCATATTTAAAATAGGAATGTGATTGTGTAAATCCTAATAGATCTAGGAAAATCTCTTACATTCCTATTAAGAGTTGATTACTTATTAAGAATTGTAATCGTAAAAGGGTAAGGATTTTACCTATCCTACTACTATAAATAAAGACACAATTGGGGTGATACAACACGCACCTCACAATTAAATCTCTCTCCTCTCTCCTCTCCTCTCTCTCTCACTTTTGACGGCCTTCCTCTCTCTATTCCTTAGATAGCTCAGTTAAATAGGCCTACAACACGTTACAACACACTCTTGCCAAAAGCTAAGGAATTGAAGGATTGTAGGAGGAGGCTATCTTCCACAAAATTCAAAGGCTTTTATTTATTTTCTATTAATCAGATACGCTTAAAATAAAGGAAGATATTTGAAACGTCCACGAAGTATGAAAACATTCCCCATGATGCATAAACCCCTCTATGTTTATATTTTCCTTACAATATATATATATATATATATATATATATAAATTGTATATGTTTCATATAATTGTCAATATATATATATGCACTTCATGCATTACGCAATTAAATTATTATGTGGAATTGTGAGTCAAAGAATATTAATAAGTTAGAAGCATGTTAGGGTTTTTCAAACCCTAGTGAATTCGAAAAAGAGAAAGGAAATTGGGATTTTTGCAGCACCATCGCTGCAGCACCACCACAAGGACCACTGCGTTGGCCTGAAGCCTAGCCGCGTAGAGAGCCGCTTGACACGATGTCATTTGATGTCTTGGACCTTTGCCGAAGCCTTTGGGCTTCGCTGCATACTATGGACAACTAGGTCGTATGCCTGGTTTGGTTCTTACCACGGGCTTACAGCCCCAACCTACACCAGCGCATGCGGGGCTGGTCCTTCAGTCTTGACCCATGCCAGCAGCTGTGCTCCTAGGCTTAGCCTTTGCCACGGCCCGTGTTTCTATCAGCCAGCCTATAGGGCTCGGCTTAGTTGTTGTGGCCCAAAATCGAAACCCAACTGCAGATGGGGTTTCTTCGCACACCTGCAAGCCTCTGGGCTTGCTCATACACGTTGGTCTCGGCCCAACCATGCTAGCAGCTTTCTGCTGGGCTTCCTATCTCTCGGTTTGTGGTCTGCAGCCACATGTGGGTTGCTTTTGCAGCCTTGACCCTGAGCCCAAAAGCCTTTAGGGCTTTACCTAACTCATGGCACCCAGCCCAAATACCATTGAGCTATGGTTTTTCAAACCCAATGCTAATTTTTGGCATTATTTTGCTTCCATGATCAACCCTGTTTGATCCCGATCTATTGAATTAATTAAAAGTGAATAGCAGTCCATTAATCTAATAATTGAATCCAAAATTATTGATCTGAAGATCACTTTTTGACATTATTGATTCAATAATTTATTTTTTACTTTGAACCGTTGACATACTTTTGTAGTAACGAAGCTCTCACACTTGAGTTCCCGAAGAAACTCAAATCCACTACACTTAAGTCAGCATATTACATTTTGTGTTTCTTGCAGGAACTTCTACTTTATGAACTAATCGTTCATAAAACTAAATTGAACCTGTTGTTTCATATTTAGTGCCTTCAAAACCTAAAGTTTTCATTCAAAACTTACCACATGAAACATGTCTATAGAATCTGAATGTTCTACAATATATGTCTATGGATCACCGCATGACTAATCACGTTTTTGTTGTATCATATATTTTAGGGACATGTCGAACTTGAACAATCTCAATTTCACCGCTCTGGAAGTATCTGGAAGAAACTACTTGAAGTGGGTTCAAGACATGAATCTTCATTTCACTGCAAAAGGTATTAGAGCCACCATTAAGGCACCTACCGATGACAAACTTGTTGACGAAGATCAGAAAGTTACTGCAACGATCTTCATTCGAAGACATATTCATGATGCACTGCAGACAGAGTACCTCGCTAAGGAAGACCCACACACCATTTGGCTTGCACTGGCCGACTGTTTCGATTGCTTAAAACAAGACACGACAGACAGCATCTTCACTTCCAAGACTTTAAGTCCGTGAATGAATACAACTCTGAAGTTTGTAGAATCCGATCACCGCTGAAGTTCAGTAAAGTGGAACTAATCGAATTAGATCTCCTGGAGAAGACTTATTCAACCTTTCATGCCATCAATATTGTCTTGCAGCAACACTGTAGGGCATATAAATTCAGAAATTCACCAAATTTATGGATTTAATCTCTGTTTTACTTCTTGCTGAAAAGCGGAACCGGTTTTCGATGAAGAATCATCAAGCTCAACTGACTGGCTTTAACGCCGGGCCTGAAGCGCACACGACCAATTCTAGTAGCCACAAATGACGAAAGAATCGTCGTGGTCGTGGCAATAGGCGGCAAGCCCCACCACGAGCCCAAGATCCACAGAATCAAGGCCCACCCAAGGGAGGAAATGTGACCCATCATTGTCCACCCTTAGTACCTAAGGCCCCGAACTTCAAGAACAAAGGAAAAACTACCATTCAACCAGTTGCCACTAAAATGGACATGTGCTACCACTGTGGATCACAAGAGCATTGTTCAAGCGTATGCCAAGCTAACCCCAAGGCTATTGCCAAGTATCATTCCGAAAGATGCTACTACATCCAAGGAGATATCAGATTTTCAGGAGGCGTCAGCGCCTATGGACAAATAAATTAGACATGTTTTAGGGTGTTTTACCCCTAGTGGCCAAACCTAATAGGAATGGCCGGCCCTCTCCCCTATTTTTCTAGGTTTATGGTTTAATTTTGAACCATTTTTCTAAGTCTTTGGAATAATTTGTTTGGTTTTGGTTTGTTTTGAATTATGGATTGTTATTTTATGGATATTATTTCTCAAATTGCTTAATTGAATGAATGGAATTATATTTATGCATGTGACTAATTCGATCAATTTATTTCTAGGCATGTCTAGTGGGGAAGTTAGTTGTCTGGCTGATAGTGCTACCACACACACCATCTTGAGTGAGCGACATTATTTTACTAACTTTATACCCAAGAAAGCACCTCCGACAACTTTTTCAGGCCTATCCAACTTGATTGAAGGATACGGAAAGGCTCGTATCATGTTGTCTAATGGTACTGTCTTAACCATTAAAAAGGCACTTTATTCTCCACGTCTTAAAGAATGTTACTGATGGAGATATTTAGGATAATCAATATCATGTTGAAACCACTGAAAATAATGGTTCTGAATTTCTTTGTATCACTTCGTACGAATATGGCTAGAAGTGTATTCATGAGAAGTTGGAACGTCTCCTAAGTGGGTTGTACATCACAACCATTCGCGACATAGAAGCCCACCATATGGCTGGCCCTATGCCTGAGTTCCAAAGTAGTTTGTTGCTTTGGCATGACCGTTTGGGACATCCTGGATGTGACATGATGTGCCGTATCTTCAAAATCTCGTGGGCATCAGTTACCTCCCTATGTTGGATTCCCGCCATGTAAAGCGTGCTCTTTAGGGAACTTAAATACTCAACCCTCGATTACAAAGATTATTCACAACCTCCCTAAGTTTCTTTAGAGGATTCAAAGGGATATTTGTGGACCTATTCAACCAACTTAAGGACCATTTCAATATTTTATGATGTTGGTTGATGCATCGACAAGATGGTCACATGTTTGCCTATTCTCCACATGCAATGTTGCATTTACGAAACTCCTAGCACAAATTATTAAGTTAAGGTTCACCACACTGATTATCCGATCAAGTATATTCAACTGGATAATGCTGGAAAGTTTACGTCACAGATTTTTTACTATTATTGCATGTCAGTAAAGATTGATGTGGAACATCCTATACCCCATGTTCACACCCAAAACGGCCTGGCAAAAGCTTTCATAATGTGCCTTCAATTGACATCTCGAACTTTGGTTATGAGAACCAAACTGCCAGTATTTGCCTAAGGCTATGCAATACTTCATGCAGTTATGCTAGTCTACCTGAGACACACCGCTACCCAGCCTTATTCACCATTATAGTTGGTTACTAGATACGAGCCTGACGTCTCGCATTTACATGTGTTTGGGTGCGCAGTTTAGGTGCCAATAGCACTGCCACTACATACCAAAATGGATCCTCAGAAAAAATGGGAATCTATGTCAATTATGATTCACCATCAATTGTTTGCTGTTTAGAACCCTTGACAGGATATCTCTTTACCTCACATTTTACGGATTGTCACTTTGATGAGATAGTCTTTCCGTCATTAGAGGGAAATAAGCATGCTAACGTTCCTGGAGAACGCCGCGAATTATCATGGTATGTTCCCACTATGTCTCATTTAGTCCCTACAC